ATAATTGAAATTAAGAATTATTTCCTTAATAAAATCTGTTCTTTAAACATAAATCTTGAAATAAGGTCATGTACGATTTTTGAATTTATGAGAATTGTAGCACGTGGAAATATGGAATGAAAGCAATTTTTCTTTATTTAAAACTTTTCTTGGCGACTACAAATTTGTTTTGTAAATTTTTCCCTCGTACCAAAGGACTGTTAAAACTAGTGATGCTACAACAGCACATACTTTCTCTTATTGGAAACGGCTACGTATTGAAATATTGCATTTTCTGCGCTACTAACACCTCAGCTATTACTTGAAAATGTCCAATTCAAACAAAGCGCCTGTGATGCACATCAGCATTCATTTCGTCCGAAGAGAGCAACGCATTGTTTCCAGCGCAGCGATGTCAAAACTATGTTAATTCGCTTGGGGAATAATATCTATATTCTACGATTTTTAATATTAAGTACATTTTTAAATTTTACCACCTTATATATACATACACACACACGCACACACACACATCAAACGAAGCGCAAGAAAATAAAACTTGGACTAATTTTTTAATAAAAGAAGTTTAAATTAGTCCAGCCTCTTATGGAAAAACTTTCGCGGTCATTGTTTTCTTTAAGTCATTGAAGTTATGCGATTAATGTACTATTTTCTTTTATTTAATATGTAGTATCTTTTTAGGGATCAGATCATACTAATATACAAAGTACGTCACCGGGCATTCGTAGGAGTAATTTATAAAAAACCGCTGCAAAATTCATCGCAAACGGAAGTACTGGCTCTTACTTTCACATGTAGTATAATTGAAGCACCACTTACTCATTTCTAGACGGCGGAGCTTCATGCAATTGCATTTCTTTACTGATTGCGCATATTGAAAGGAATGTATACAACTTTACTTAGCACCAAAAATAAAACAAAAGTAGCCAATTTGTATTTTGCATAATTGAATATTTCCGGGATTTTTTCATTGACTATGTTTTTATGTGACATTTAAGAGCATATATTCCAGGTTTATGCACAGACGTGGGCTGAAGCGAGACAATTTTGTTGCTTAGTAACTTTTTTGTTTATTGTCTTTGAAAATATGTTTTTATTATACGCGTTTTGTACTACAGTGTAAAATAAGGATTTATATAAATAAATGTTATCTGTTACTCCCTATATTTTCGTTTAACGCATATTCTGAGTTTTAAGTGCATGGTTGCATGAATAATATTAACTTTTTTAGTACATTTAGAACATTTGGGGCGAAAAATAAATATTTTCAAACAATTATCAACGCAAATTGAACAATTATAACTCATTTTCATACAGCTAAATCATGTCAGAACAATGAGACATAATTCACAGGAATTCGCGACGCGGAATTACATTGTTGCATTCCCTGCGTTGTTGATATTCCCTGAGAGCTAGTAACGTTTATTTTATGTATTTCAAATAGGTTTTAAATACTTTATAAAATACTAATGTTTAAGTGTATTACAGAAGATCGAATATAAGAAACGAATAAATATTAATACACAAAATCTAACTTACGAAGCTGTCTGTAATTGTTCACGAAGCGTAGTAAATTCGCAGCGGGCATTTCAATTTCTCACCAAATTACACAAATATATTCACATTTTCAAAAAGATCAACAAGACATTTTTTGAAGTTCTGTTTTTTATGACACATTTCAGTAATAAAAAATAGTCTTCACAACTGTAGTTGTAGGAAGACGCCGACATTTTTTTTTAATTTTCACAAAATCACGCATTTTAATGAACATAAGACCTGCATCAATTACTTGAGCGTCCTTTATGCTATCAATTTAATAAAAAAATGTGCGTTTTTTAAGAAAAAGTTGTTTCAAGAAAATAGAAATTGCGTATGTTTGACACAACATTTTGCAAAAATGTTTTTGAAAAACTGAACATGATCTTATTTAAAGATCTGCTACCGATGAACACATTTCACTGAAAAAAATGTATCTTCATAATTGGAGTTGCAGGAAGACTTCGAAACAATTTTGATTTTTTTCAATTCTCGACCTACACCATTCTCTTAAACGTCTTTCACACACTCCACGAACGAAATTTCATCTAAAACGATGAAGCCGTAATTGTTTTAACAAAAATTAAAAATTGCCTACATTTCACGCAAAATCACGCGAAAAACTTAAATTTTAGAAAAATTCTTCACGACCTTATTTCAAAATTATCTTTATGAAGCAGAATTCATTAAAGGGGGAAATGTCTATCTTTAATATTTTAGTTGTAGGAAGACGCCCAAGAAATTTTGATTTTTTTTAATTTTCGAAAATTCAGAGTTTTTAACCAACTGAGACCTGCGTCATTCTCTGAAACGCCCTTCAGACTATTCAAAAACAAAATTTAATCAAAACCGATGACGCCATTTTTATGAAAATGTGCTAGGGGCTTCATTCATACAGTACCCCCAAAAGTTAAAATATATGTTTGAAATTCAAGGGGCCACGACATCAGCCAGATCGATTGGGGAATGTCAATTTTGGAGAAATCGTCCGAACAGTTTAGGAGCCGTCCATAAATCACGTAACGCAAAATTTGGAGTATTTTCAATACCCTCTCTCTCTCTCTCCCTAGTAACGTACCCATAACTTCCGCATGAATCCCCCTAAATAATTTCGTAACGCTTGCGACAACTCCCCACTTGCAAATGCAAAAAGTGAAAATAAATTATAGCGCAGTAAAAAGAATTTGTATTTACCAATGTAGAAATCACGACCATTGATGTAATATAAAATTAGTTCACGGGATTGGTCAAAATGGATAAAGAAACAGTTATGCCAACGTTTCGAAATATTTAATTCCTTCATCAGAGGTAGAGTACAAAGACAAATCAACAAAGCATGAGGACAACACAGAAATTCAAAAATTAATTCATTAATTAACACTTCACAAAGAAACGTCTATAAACCAATACAAAAAATGTAGAAAATACACTCCTTATTAATACACATAAAACTCCAGCACACATTAAAGTCAGCCACCACACCCATCTCCACAAGGAGTTGCTAAAGCACATGGGTTCATCGTGTGACTAGTCTGAAGTCGGGCCACGGCCCAAAACACACAAATGAATGAGAACTTGAGTTGAATGAATCGCGTACTACTGCCACTCTATTGCCAAGCCACTGTTTCCGGTCAGGTACATGTTAAATTAGCAACATTCTGAGGAAAACTGATGCAAATGTATCAAAACTAGATATATAGACTAAATCTGTTTTTTATTTATTATTTGTCAAAGTTAAGAGAAAAATGAAAATAATATACCACTGCGTATTTGTTTTAAAATAAATAAAAATTAAATTGATCGGAGCCACTGAGTGTATTTCAGGAGACCAGGGGTTGATACCCGGCAGGGACAGTCGTATTTTTGAACAAAGCATAATTTATAACAACTACATCATGCTTAGTTGCTTTTAGGTTGTAATGTTAGATGACAGTTGTAAATTAACACACTCCGTACGACAAGTTTGAAGAGAAAATTTGGAATAATTTTAAGAAAATGTCGTTCGAGCGTTTATGCAGAATTTGGCGCTCGTTCTCACGAACAACATTAGAGTTTTCAAGAAACTTCATGACATCATTCAAAACACATGCACGCATAAATACGATAATGTGAACAAATCGCCGTTAATGTAAAAATTAACAACGTAAGATGCTACTCAAAATGTTCAATTTTTGTAATTTTTGAAAAAACAAAAGAATACAGAAGTATGGCGTTTATGTCATCTTATAGAGAACATTTAGCACTATTACTCCCAAAAGGCAATAGTGCACAAATAATACGAAATTTTCAAAAAATGTACATGACCTCTTGAAAGAACTAACTATGGAAAACAAATTCTATTTGAAGGGAAAATCTGAATTATCAGTTTTGTAGTTGCAGGAAAACGACAGAAGAATTCAAACTTTGGCAATTAAAATCCCATTCCATGGGCCTCCAAATTTTAAAGAAAGGTTTTCAAAATTACAGCGCCCCGGGACAAGACAGATTGACCACGGAATATCCATTTTGGAAAAAATCCTGCATGTGGTTTTGGCGCTAGTAATGTTCACAGACGGACGGACGTTTTGAAAAGAACCACTTTTCGGTATCAGGGGATACAAAACGTGTATTTCCGATGACTTCTCCAAATCGATTTTCCGTAGCATAACATAACTTTCTCTTAACAATGTATACGAGAAAGTAACTAGCGGTGCTACAGAATGGAATAAACATTCTCGTAGTAAAGTTTTCTAATTTCCTTGGTGTGGACTAGGTTTACAGCCTTGCCCCATCCTTTTGCCAGCTACCATTTATCCCCGCCTAAAGTACATTTTTTGACATTTTCTCCGTTTTTCGGTTTCCTAACTGTAGAACCGGAATATTACTTCAAGAATATCAAAGAAAAATAAAATTTGTCACTAATGGACATTTTCATTGACAAATATGGAGCCGTTTTTAAGAAAATGGCGTTTAAGCGTGACTGTAAATGCGAAATTTGAAGCTCCTTTTCACAGAAAATTTTTGAGTTTTCGAAAAACTTCATTTAAAGTCATTTGAAGTACCTAAACTCGCAATTGAAATGGTGTTTACAAGTTGCAGGAGATGTGTATATATCAGCATGAGAGATATTTAAAAACAATACATTTTTGTAGTTTTTTTTTTAAAAAAGACACGGGACTAATGAATCTGGTAGTTTACGCGCCCGGAATCTCTAACAATTAATCTGTCAATGTGAACTGATAACTTGTGGTTTAAATAGCCGCAATGTTGTGATAGCCCTTCTCCATAGTCACCTTCAATATCTACTGTTTTTTGTTTGTTGTTTTTTTAAGACAATAATTCAAAGGAAATAAATCTTATCAAACTTGATTATAAATTTCTGTAAACCCCACAAGTGATAAAATAGCCGGAAGTGCGAAAGAGTTTTTATTAGAAATATAATAAAACAATGAAAGTAAATAAAAAGGATAGGGAGGGTCGCGTTATCAAAAGTGTTCTAAGGATAAAATATTGACATTGAAAAACGTGAAATATATTTCTCCCTTCTCCCCTGTTTGAATTCGACATTTGCGAATGTTGTATAATTTGTTGACAAACAATTCACTCACCTCAGGCAACAAAATGTATTTAGAAAATACGTCATCGTAGGCAATATCTTGTGCTTTGTTGTAAAGGTATTCGCCCTTGGCTCCTTTCTGACGTAACGATACATCAGCCATAAGTGTAATAGCCCCGCGCTCGACTTTTCCATCACACAGTGCACGGAAGCGGTCCCTGGAATACACATTGTTGATTATTGTTGTATTGAGATGGAACTAGTGAACCATGCTTCTAACCCAGGGAGTGAACATTTTACACATAACTTTGCACCAACTTTACCACAAATAAAGCATGGTTTATAATCTTGAGGAATAGGGCAATTGCGAACAATTCTACTTCATGAATCAAATCTGACCATCATAAGTAATTTACTCGAAATTAAACCATTTTGAACCAATTTTTGTTGAATTTATCACAAACTGAATGTTCAATCCATCCTCCATCCTTGCCTTCCCCAAAATTATAAGTACATAATAATAATAATAATAATAATAATAATAATAATAATAATAATAATAATAATAATAATAAATGTAAAGGTAAAATTGAGATTAGCTTGTCCCAGATATATAAATATCCGAATTTTCAACATTTTCATCTTTAGAATCGATATTTTTTATTTTTTAATTTAATTTAATTTTATTTTTTGTTTATCGATTTTATGGCCACATTTTTGCATTTTTTCCCACCTCTTTCGCTTTGTTAAACTCTTGTCAAATGTCAGGCCAAGGAAAGTGGCAGATTTGACTATGGACTATGGGAAGATGATCCCCCCAAAAAGATCAGGATGATTATGGATGTGGTATATTTTACAGAAGAGCATGCCGCTGAATTTTGAGGTGGAGAATTTGAATCCAGTTTTATCACTCCATTCTTGCAATTTGTTGAGGAAAAGCTGTTGCTACCTCTCAATAATATGCATGCTCTTCGAGGAGCAGAATTTGCCAAAGTCATCAACGAAGAGCGATGCTTTCATAGGACATCGAATTACTGATTATAAAACCTGATGATACTATTGATAGCAACGACAAACAGAGTGACACTCAGAATTGATTCCTGGGGAACACTTTTCTAACTGGTGACTTGAGAATAACGTGTCACCAATGCGGATGCGGAAAGATCTTGACGAAAGAAAATCTACTAGAAACGAAGGGAGTCGTCCTCTAAGGCCCCAAGAATGCAAGAAGCGAAGAATGCCGTACCTCCAGGTGGTGTCATACGCTTTCTCTATGTCGAAAAAAATGCTACCAAGTGTTGTCGTAGCACACAAGAAGTGGAGATTTGAATGGCAAAGGAGACTAAGTGGTCCTTGGTTGACCTGTGCTTCCTGAAACCATGCTGAGAAGGTGTAAATAGATTCCTTTGCTCCAGGAGCCAGACCAGATACTTATTTACTATTCGATCTAAAAGCTTGCACACACAGCCTGTGAGCGAGGTTGTGCGGTAACTTGAAGGGATTGTTTCTGTTCTTTCCTTCTTGGATTGGATGGATTGAAATAACAATGGCTTCACGCCAAATCCACGGTAAGGAATGTTTATCCCATATAAAGTTGAAAATGCAGAGGAGAAACGAACGAGCCTTTTCCGGTAGGTGTTTAAGCATTTGATTACGTATCTGGTCTGGTTCTGGAGCAGAAACTTTTGCACAATCGAGGGCACAGAAAAATTCATTCATATAGAAAGGAGCATTGTAATCTTTCTCCACTCGACTCGGGAAATCTAGTCTGCAGTTCCCCATTCTTCTTTTGGTCTTCAGAAAGCAAGAAGAGTAGTGTACGGATATGGAGATATGCTCGTAGTGTGAGGCCAATCCTTCAACTATGTCTTCTGGAGAGGTGAGATTTCCATTTGCCAGAAGCCCTAAGACAGACGGCGAAGGAAGTCTTCCATCAATCTGTCGAACCTTTCGCCACACTACTTTAGGGGGCGTACGGCAATAGAGTGATGAAATATAAGCTCTCTAGGACGCGGCCTTACTTTCCCGTATGGTCAATCTATATTTGGCTCGTGATCTTTTATAATTGATCAGGTTATCCATGGTTGGGGACCTACTAAGCTTTGCCAACCCATTCGGCATGGCATTCCTTCTCATTACATCATGGCGTGGGAGGATGTCGTGAGTGACCCGACGACTTCGGGATGGCAATTGAGGCCGCACGAAGAACGGCATCAGTAAAATACCATCAGCAACCATAGCATAACGATATTGTTTAACAGGTTTCCGATATCCGTATTTCTTTCTCGAATGTTCCCCTCTCAGCTCGCTGTATTAGCCAGCGAGGAGGACGAGTAACGGTCGGGAATATCGAATTTGACCAGGGGATGTGGTCACTCAGGTCGTCAAGGACAGTCCATTTAAAGATGGTAGAGAGAGATGGACTGCAGAGAGACAGATTGAAAGACGAGAAAGTGTTTGAAGCTACAGAAAAATGCGTGCTTTCGTCAGTATTCAGTTCTGGTTGTCAATATTTTCAAGTATATTGTCTCTCGAACAGGCCCTAGTACCACCTCAGGCGGGGTTGTGGGCATTAAGTCCCCCACACTAAGAAAAGGGGCAAGCAACTAAGATAACATATCTTCAAGTTCCTCTTCTGTCACGACTTGGCCAGGCTGGATAAACTAGAGTAGTTATCGATATAGTGCAGAAGTTCAGAGGAACTCTTAGAAGTCTGAAGAGTGGTTCGTACGTCTATTTTTAGGACACCAAGGAGTCTGTGACAAATGTAACGACTCCACCACGTACCCGGAGGTTATTATCAATGTCTTGTCAGTAGCAACAAAAGCCACCAAGAGAGAGAGGAAATTCTCAGGATGAAGATGTGTTTCCTGCAGACAGATAACGAGTCTATTCAGAGACATTATCAGCTTTAATTCGTCTAAACGGGTGTGAAAGCCACCCCCCGGTTCCGCGTGAGGAGAGCCATTACTCTTAGACGTTAATTTGCTTTGCTTCTAAGGGAATTTTTTCTTCCCCATTTTACGTTTATGCCTCTGTTGCCCGAAGGGGCGACTGTCCACCCCGGCTGAAGAAACTTCAGCCGGGGCAGAAGGCAGATTCCTCCTGAGCACTGCTCGACGGGCTAAGAGATCGCTCAGAGAGTCTCAGGAGTCGGAGTTTGGAGGAACGATCTTTTTTAAGTTTGTCTGGTGCAGCTGGCCGAGTGACATCGGGCTTCGTGCGGGCTGAAAAGTGGATTCTAAGTCCGATTTCGCTTGTGTGTTTTTCTTGGACAATTTGTATTTGAAGGGAATTATTGTCTTTCCATCTTGCAGAGGTGATGTCTCGTCAGGGAAGTCCACTGGGGCAACAGAAATGAGCAACTGGGGGAGTAGCAGATGAAGCAGAAGTCTGACAATTCGCTGTTGTTTTTGCCGTCTTTGCCAGAGTACTGGAAAATGAACGCTCGAGATCTACAGGGTTTTTCACCAAGTACCTGCGTTTCGCCTCGGGAAGAGATACTTTCTCCGTCGCTGTGATTTTTTGGATCTCCCTCTCCCTCAGATATGTAGGGCACCTGTTCGAATTGGCTGCATGGTCTCCTTCACAGTTAACACAGCATAGGGATCCGTATCGTGCATCGATTTGCCGCACTTTGCGCAAACAGGACTTATGACCATGCACTGATGTTGGGTATGGCCGAACCACTGACACTTGAATCAACGCAGGAGGTTTGGAACATACTGCCGCACGTGGAGATTTTAAAACCCACGACTAACCTCCTCTGAGGGAGGAGATGAAACGTCAAGATCAGAGTGGAAGTAGGGACCTGTCTCTTATTTGCCTTCCCCTTGATCCTAAACACCTCCGTTACGCTCTGACTCTTGAAGAAAGACAAGTTGCTCCTCACTTTCGGACGCAAAGTCATTGTGATTCACCACTCTCTTACATAGGTTAAGGGTAGGGTGAGTGGTCACTTCCACCTGCAGGCCGGCAATCTGCTTAGTTTTTGAGATTTTTTTCCATTTACTCATTGGTGCGTGCTTCGAAGAGAATGGTGCCATTCTTTTGACGCACAACCGCTGGGAGTTTGCTGAAACTGTCCTCAATGGCTCGTGCGAGACGAACCGCACATATACTTTTAAATGTTTTTCCGTGCACGCCATCAAAAGGAAACGTGGCTCCTTTGGTTTATCTTCTTCTATCAAGGAAGAAACTACTCAAATCCACCGTTCTCACAAAACATCGCCTCTTCCTTCCGGACGAGGGCAAGCGGTTGTTTTATGCTTCATAGAATTGAAGCGGATTCGTCTTCTCGAAACATTTCTACATGCATAAAATGTTAAGACAGAAAGTACACTACTGGATCAAACCGGAAACCAATCCAGTCACAATCAGAAATTCAGCCATGCTTTGATTTTTAATCAGTTCCAATTGTAAATCAATAAAGTATCATCCTATTTCATTTATTACGTCCCAATTGAACCAAAAATTGTGTCAAAATAACACTTCACACTACTGACCCTAATGTAACGGGAAACTATACTATTATAATTTCTCTCCAGAAAATGTCTCAGTCACGCGCTTTGTTCTCCAAAATAAACGACGGTTGCGGCAAACGTCATAGCAACATTTTCGTCAGAATACGAGCACGGGTGGAAAATGTGATACATACACATGAAATGACAAGGCACACCAAAAAAACAACACTAATATTGTGTTTCTCATATTAATTAAGGTATTGTAAATGACAGTACTGTTTTCATGTTCCAACGAATTTTAGTATACAGTTCACAACATTTTAGTAGCATACCCGTTCTATAACATATCCGTTCTAAGAGTCCCGATTTAACCAGACACTCGATTACCGCACGTGCCACATCACTCTGCACACCCCTATGGGTGTGCTCAGTCCTCGCAGAATCTTGCCTGTGATATTCCCGGCCTTCTCTCCCATGGAGAACGGCTAATTTTGTTTATGAGCGTTGCTAGAAACAGCTTACATTCATATCAAACTGCAGTCAGACACAGAGTATTAATAGTATTGGTCAGACAACTGATATCACATTGCTCTCTGAGCCAATAAAGACACACAGTTATCTGTTGTTGTAAACACACTTAGTACGAACTTGCACGCGAAAAATAATATTGTCTAATTCGACAATATTTCTTTTAGAAAAAAATGTTGACATGACTTCAGCCCAACCTTCATATTCTAAAGCGCGGAACAATTCCACACATCACCTAAAAATTGAAAGTTACTGAAAGCATCGTTAATTAAAAATTATTACCATGTATTCATTTATTTAATTTCTATTAATTAAAAATGTTACTCACGCGCATTCCTCCAGTAGTTCTTCTCCAACGAGTCGAGGAAACACGATGTAGCCGTTGTCCTCATAAAACTGACGTTGCTCCAAAGTAAAGCGCGGATTATCCAACGTGTATCTAAAATCCCTGGCCAAACTTACTGCCGTCGCTGCTGCTGCTGTCGCGTTTGCCGCCTGCTGTAGGTAAGGGCTATATCAACTTCAAATGAGGGAATGAACATGAGCGATGGATGGCTCAGTGTCCTGAAGTGAGACAGTGTCAAAGCCAATGTCAATGTTAATGGTGTAGCAACATTCGGTGTAGGTATAATCTCATAACATGCGTCCGTCCGACACAAAATTAGCACTGCCCATCTACCAATCGTGACAAATGAGGTATCATTCGGTGATACGTTGTGATGTTTAGAAGTAAAGTAAAGCGTACGTTTGTTTTTACATGATGTTCTTATACCTTGTGTGATCCAAGTATTATTTTTCCGTGAAATATTTAATTTTCTCTTTTTGAGAGGAAAGCATGCGTTAAAGTGAAATGAAAGTTTTGAGAATGTGGAGTGGATAATGGATAGTGGAAATTTTTGGATGGAGTCAATGGTAAGTTCTTTCTGAATTTATTACTGCCTAATAAACTATGGAATAATTAAAATCCACTAAAGAATCTATTTTGTGTAACTTCAATTGTGTGAAAATTTATTTTTACTGTACCACAAATAGAATAAGTGTGAAACACGGATTACTGATTTAATAATAGGCATTGCTGTTTGATTTTTTGAAGATTTTTTTTCTTTATAAGTGGGTAGAGTTTAAGAACTTTAATATTGTTTTTTAGTTGTGTCATGAGCATTCCAAGTTAGTTCTTTAGCTTTGTTTCAATGAAGATATTTCTCTGGAGAATTGGTGGACAGTGAACTGTAGTATTATTACTTATTAAAGGATTTAATATGTCAACGTGAAAATATAATAATATGTCAACGTGAATAATATAATATTTTTTGTGTTGTGATATTTTGTAGGGTTGACCTTAATTTTCCAATTGTTAAACTAGTTGTTAAAATTTGTAAATTTTGAAGAGAATTGTTTCGAAATTGTTTTATTATTTTAGCTTTTATTATAGCTATTATTTAGATTATGTAAAGCATATAACATTTTCTCTTCAGTAAATAACACTATTTCATAATTTTCAAAGAAAAGTTCAAAAATAAAAATATTAAATAAAAAGGAAACGAGGAAGTGGGGACCCTAGAGATATTCAGGCAGAAATTAGAAATACACGAGATAGTTCTTGGTTAATTTGTACCTGTAATGAAGAGGATGAAATAAAATTCTTAATTATGAATTGTAAATATTGTGGATGTGTCAAGCTGGCAAAACCACTCTAGCACAATTACATCAAACTAATTGGCATATTTAGTACCCATTTATTTCTAATTTATTACCCCCAAAGTAAATTTTTACTCTCGCCCTTCAAGAAAAAATTGCGGTTGAGCTGGAGTGACTGTAATGATGACACAACCAAATTTTAAAAAACCGACACAATCGATTCAAACGAATATGAATATTTTGTTCTCATTTATTACTAATAAGAGACATACACAGAGATAGTGACATATAGACTGAATCAGACTGAGACAGGGACAGAGAGAGACTGTGAGACAGAAACGGAGAGAGAGAGACGGACAACGACGCACGTAAGTATGAGAGAGAGAGAGAGAAAGAGAGACAGGCAGAGGCAGTCAGAGACAGCGACAGGCAACCAGAGAGCCACAAATGCAGAGAGAGAAACAGAGCGAGAGACAGAGAGGGAAAGAGACAGAGACAGACAGACAGACAGACAGAGAGAGAAAAATATACAGAGAGAGACACAGAGAACTTGGGTGTGCACGTGCGAACTTGCTAATAGGCACGAGCCGTCAGTGCAAACCATCTACATCATCTTCAAATTATTGAGACTTCTGTGATAGTGAAACTGACGTTACTGATTTCCCCAAAGGGAGAAGGGCCCATTTGTTTAATCAAGAAGAACTTAATGATTTGGTGAGATCTCTCAAAGCTTCATAAAGGAAATCAATATGCCTCAGTGCCAGAAGCCCATTTAAAGGAAATACATGAAAGTATTAAAAAAAATATGAAGAACACCAATGGGTTGTTTGTGGAGACTTGAAAATTATTGGAATATAGTTGAGACTTCAAGTATGATTTACAAAGTTCCTGTTTTCTATGTGAATGAGCAGGGCACGTGAATGGCACTGGGTCAAAAGGGATTAGGCAATCGGAAATACTTTGAATCCAGAAGAAAAAAAATGTCATAAGAATAAGTTTGGTTAATCATACAAATATTACTTTGCCATCACTCCATATGAAGTGTAATGAAATAGTTTGTCACGGCTCTGAGTAAGAATAGCGAGTGCTTTAAATATATTCATTTAAAATACCTTTTCTTTCAGAGGCCAAGCTTATAGAAGGCATCTTTGTGAGACCTCAAATTAGAAATCTGATGAAAGATAAACCTTTTGAAACTTTAATGAGATACGAAGAGAATAGCCTAGTCAGGTTTCAAAACTGTCTGGATTATTTTTTTAGGAAATAATAAAAATCCAGATTTCAAAACTATGGTGGATAAAATGCTCATTTCTAGGAAAAATTTAGGATGTATCATGAGCATTAAACTTCATTTTCTCTAAAACCACATTGATTTCTTTCTCAATAATCTGGTTGATTTCAGTGATAAACATGGAGAAAAGTTTCATTAAGATCTGAAAGAGATGGAAAAACGTTAACAGGGTACATGGGATGAAGAGATTATTGCAGACTCCTGTTGATACTTAAAGAGAGAAAGTGTAGAATTACACAGATGACAAAGGAAGAAAAATTTCAGCAGAAGAAAGTGTTAGCTGGGCTTTGACATTGTTGACAATATAACATTATTGTTAATGTAACTATGTTGTCATCTCATATTATCAATAGTAGTTCCCTCCCAGTTTCCAAGCCAGTTCCTGATGACAGTTAATTTAACAGTAACTCGGAACATAGTACTATTTATCAAACCAAAAGAAAAGAAAAGAATTTTACACATTGTGAATCAGCACGATAAAATGTAGTTCAAACTGGAAAAAAAGAGATTTAGTTTCAACAAATCTCAGACCTAAAAGTCAAATATCTTATTAATTTCTTCAAAATTTTCAGGATACAGTAGAGGGTCTTACCCTGAGACAAATATATTTACAAATTGTGAGTAATTATCTCTTTGAAAGGGTAGATACACCTGTAGTAAAAACAAAGCCAATTTTGATATTGCACTAGAAGAATAAGGTTTTTTTTAGAATTTTGCTTTCTACTGGTTACCAAACCTAAAAAACTACTGGAGTAGTAATGAATACTAAGGCATTCAATTCGTAAAAAAAGCCAAGTCAAGAAATCGGTTTCAAAGACTAAAGTCTATGATCTGCTTCAATGACAATGCTCTAACAAAAACAATGAATCAAAAACTGAAAAAGCATTCACAATTCGCCCAAGTTGTGGAAGAGATTCAATTTGTAGGAAAGGATCATTGTATTAGCAGAAGGGGAAGCAAAGTTCATGTCAATACATGAAAGTCTTGCAAATCCATGGACATTTTGTTCCAATTGTAATGTAACATTATGTGATGAATGTTTCATTAAATATCACAACAAATGAATGGAAAAAAATTATTAAAATATTGAATGTTTTAGTTTTTTCCAATATCGTAATAATCCACAAGTTCATAGGTAAACTCTGTTGTTGTTTTCTTTTGTTGTTGTTTTTTTTGCCCTGTCATACAGTATGATATCTTGAGGTTCCAGGGCCCTCATTTGAGGACATCCTATTTGGAATTTAAAATAAAAAAAGTATGCATTTTCCTACTGATATTTGTATGAGAAAGTATCCTTGGTCTAAATAAAAAATTTTGTCAAAATATTCTACCTGCAAAAGACTTTAGAACTTGATGGGTTATAAATGTGTATTAAATTATCTATTTGGTTTTATTTGATTGTGCCATTTGGACTCTCTATTATCACTCTCAAACCTCTGGTATGGTTGCAAAGGATGAATGATAGCCATGCAGCTTAAAACAAAAGAGAAGGCCAGCTACATTTCTGCACCCCTCCATCCCCCAATGCGCTCCCTTTCTATTAAACATTTTTACTTACAAATGACATATTTTACTAGTAAATAAATAAAACATAATCCAAGAAGAAGTAAATAACTTTAAAGCAACAATTAATAAATACAATGGGTGATGAACTACTTACATTGTTGTCAGATTAGAAGATTAAATTTTTCTCCTAATATTGCTTATCAATTCCCCAAATTGTGAGCTAAAAAGGACAAAAATCTTAAATGAATTGTATTTATGGAAATATCATGTATTATGTAGGACTATGGGACCTGTTTTGAAATTTTTATGGTGGCCAATGACTCATTCAACCTTCCCACCCCAATTTGCACCCTTATGATTATAATCATTTCAAAGATTTAGAGAAAAATTGAGGATAAGGCAAGCATTGAAAATTTATGATAAGGAACTAATGAATGGACCAGATAATGCTGATCGAGTTTGATTTTTAATTGTCTTAATTGACTAAACACTATACAGAATAGCAGAAGTGTGATTTGATTGTTTCTGGTACTGTGGTCTATTGGATAAACAATGTCAGTTGGGATTTCCACAATTTTTGCAATTCAGAATTAAGAATTTTAATTCATCCTCTTCATTTCAAGTACAAATTATCTGAGAACTATCTGATGTATTTCCAATATCTGCCTGAATACCTCAAGGATCTCCACTTCCTTCTTTCCTTTTTATTAATATTTTTATCTCTGACCTTTTCTTTCAAAATTCAGAAATAGTGTTACTTATTGAAGACATAACTTTATATACTTTACATAATGATTTATAACAATGTCAAAACAATTTTCTACAAAATTTACAATCTTTAACATACTGGTTTAACAATTGGAAAATTAATATCCACCCTACCAAATATCACATCACAAAAATACTTTCACATTGACACATTAAATCCATTTTTAAGTAATAATATTACAGTTCAATGTATACCAACTAATTCTCCAGTGAAATATCTTCATTTAAACAAAGCTAAAAGACTAACTTAGAATGTTCATGACACACAACTGAAAAACAAATCTTAAAGTTCTTAAACTCTACCCATACACTAAGGAATGGTTCATTACTCTATGCTCCACCTGCATATAAAGAATAAAAATGTCTATGGATGCCAGCCAATTATTAAATCAGTGATCTGTGTTTCACATCTATTCGATTTGTGGTACAGCAGAAACAAATTTTCACACAAGTGAAGTTACTCAAAATACATTCTTTGGGTGATTTTAAGTATTCAATACTTTATTAGAAAGTAATAAATTTAAAAAGAACTTTCCTTTGACTGCCTTCAAAAATGGAAAAATAAATTATTATCCACTTACTGCTTTTGCTACGAACTAAAGAAGGAGAATTAAAGGATAACTGCATTCTAACTATTTTAAAGGACAACTAAATTAAAGAACATTAGAATAAATAATTTCTTTTTCAGTAAATTCTTGACCAGCAACAAACTTAAATAAGGCAATCTACTAACCCTTTACCCAGAATACTATTATGGGTCTGAAATATGAATGACATCCTTCTTAGTTCTATTCTTTTACCTTGACAATAATAATATGCTATGTCTATTAAAAATATTTTTCTTCTCAGAGGCCTCTCTAGGAACTACCTCTAAACTTGTATTTAATGTATTGTCACACAATATATTGAATATAACTAAGGCCCTATGTATATCTCAAAACCTGGAAAGACATTTACTTCAAACATTGAAAACAAACAAAGGAAAAAAATCTTGCACACACAAAACATATGTGTGAATGAATATGTAAGTAGTTGCAAAGGATACAGGTTGGCTAGGAACCAGATGGCAGTTTAACACTCTGATTCGTTCAGCTGCCATTTTCTATGTTCGTGATGAGTTTCTGAAATCAAGAAATAGCATCATTAATGGCGTATTATCTTTAAAATTCTAAAATATATATTTACAAGAGGAATTTAATTACACAAAGATAAATACAGAGAACATATAAAAGTGAATGCTGTTGTTCAGGAAAACTAAAGTGTTTGAGGTATGTAGGTGCAATTTCTCCAACATAGTGAACGGGGAAGGAACCATAGTTACAGCAATAGCTTATTCGTTTTTGAAGAGCAATTATTAAGGGAATGAACCATAGAGGAGAGATACAATAGAGACCATAAACCATACAGGAGAGATACAGTAGAGAGTATATCTCTACTCTATGGAATAAACGTACCATATGGGGAACTACAATATTTCATTAATTTTAAAAGGAAATTATTTGGGTGTCAATATAGAATCGCTGGTAGATACTGGAGCAAATGTGTGTGATATTTAACAGGATTTATGTGATGAAATGAGGAAAAGTGATGCTGAAATTGAAGAATTGCCGACATGGATGCTGTTGACGAAATTGGATATTCGTGTAAGCTAATGGTAGGCGGGCAGAGATCAAGGGTAGACGTGTGGGTCGAGCTCGAGGTGACGCAACGATGATAAGGTCTCCAGCTATCGTCATGAAGGGCTTAATTCGTCCCTTAGTTCGTCCTTATAGATATAGAGGAACGATCTGTCGAATTCCGGAACCTGCTTTTCCCAGCTACCAAAGATGCTATGCGTGACGAAAATTAGGGATAGATCCGGAGCAGAAGAATTTAGTAAAGC